CTGATCCAGAGACTGAGCTTCACGTCGCTTCTGCCGAGCCAGAGACGCTTCACGTCACTTCTGCCGAGCCAGAGACGCTTCACGTCACTTCTGCCGAGCCAGAGACACCTGCCGAGCCAGAAACGCTTCACGTCACTTCTGCCGAGCCAGAGACGCTTCACGTCACGTCTGCCGATCCAGAGACTGTTCTCGTCACGCCTGCCGATCCAGAGACTGTTCAAGTCATGTCTGCCGTTCCAGAGCCTGCACCTCACACCAGTCCAGCCGTGCCTGAGTCTGAGAGCGTTATGCCCGCCAAGCAGGAGTCTGTGAGTGTTATACCCGCAGAACCAGAGCCAAGGCCCTCTTCACCGCTGGTCCTGCCCAGCTCAAGGCCCTCTTCACCACCGGTCCTGCCCAGCGCTCAGTCCTCCTCGCCGCTGGTCCTGCCCAGCTCAAGGCCCTCTTCACCACTGGTCCTGCCCAGCGCTCAGTCCTCCTCGCCGCTGGTCCTGCCCAGGTCAAGGCCCTCTTCGCCGCTGGTTCTGTCCAGCCCAGAGTTTCACAAGATGCTGGTCCCGTCCATTCCAGAGTTTCCTGACAGGATGGCCGTCACTGAGCCTGTGTCTCCGGACAGGATGGCCGTCACCGAGCCTGTGTCTCCGGACAAGATGGCCGTCACTGAGCCTGTGTCTCCGGACAAGATGGCCGCCGAGCCTGTGTCTGTTCCAGTTCCTGAGCCGGATCCAGTGTCTGTTCCTGAGCTGGATCCAGTGTCTGTTCCTGAGCCGATGGCTGTTCCTGGGCCGGTGGCTTTTCCTATGCCGGTGTTGGTTCCTGAGCCTCCGCCGTGGCCGCCTGAGAGGTCTTCACCGCCGTGGCCGCCTGAGAGGTCTTCACCGCCGTGGCCGCCTGAGAGGTCTTCTCCGCCGTGGCCGCCCGAAGGGTTTCTTCCGCCGTTGCCGCCAGTTGGACTGTCGTCTCCTCCCTGGCCGCCTGAAGGGTCGCCTGCACTGCCGGATCCGCCCTGGTCGCCTGCACTGCCGGATCCGCCCTGGTCGCCTGCACTGCCTGATCCGCCCTGGTCGCCTGCACTGCCTGATCTGCCCTGGTCGCCTGCACAGCCTGCTCCACCCTGGTCTCCAGTTCCTCTTCTGCTCCACGGACCTGGCCCTCCATCCCGCCCCCAGATCCGCCTCCGCTCCACCTCCCACCTGGACAGTTTTTTGAGCGTCTGGAAGCCGCTCTTTGGGGGGGGGGCATGTAACGGTCACCAGCTGGAGTGCCCTTGAGAGACACCAGAGGGCACTCCACACCAGACAATCATGTTTCACTCACAAACTACATTTCCCATAACTCACTGCCCGGACTCATCAGCACTCATCTCATTCACCTGTTTCTCATCATCTTGTTTAGTTCACACCATAAATACCTGGTTTTCACATTCACTTATTGCGAAGTCTTGTTTTACTGTTAGTTGCAATTCTGAGCGTTATCCTCCTGTGTTTGCTTCCTGTATTTTGACCTGTGGATTGTTTATCGTTGCTGACCCTTTTCTGCCTGCCCTGACCCTGGACTGTTTCACTGGACTCTGATTCTCGCTGCCTGCCTCGACCCTCTGCCTGTATCTGGTTTGTCTCTGCCTTGTCTCCATTGCCCTGTTTGCTGTTATTTGATCCATGCCTGTTTGACTTCTTCTAATAAATACTGCGTATGGATCCCCTGGTGTCTGCTGCATCATAACACCTATCTTCTTTAAAACAAGACCAATCTTTTTGTTAACTACAATCTTAAACATTCTTGAATACAATCATTTATGTTCGAAATGTGCATTTTCATGTCTATTTAAAAAAAGGGGGGTGACACTTCTCTGGAAACTGCTGACAGAATTTTTTTTTTTTTTTTTACAGTGTACCATAGCTATCTTTAGATATTTATGTAGATATTTAGCTTTAACATATTTAAACCTTATCCATTAATCTATTTGAAATATTAAAGAATAACCAAAGATGTTGCCACTGTCTTACATGAACAGTTTGTTTTGTCAGAAAATGCTACATGGGAGCCCTTTAATCTCATTCAGAGCGTTTTCTCCTTTCTAACACGTCTTCTGCAGCGCTGTCTTGGTATTCAGCCAGGAATTGGGATTATTTGCTTTTAGGTTTTTTTCTTCCATGTTGTAAACAAAAGCCTTACTGCTGTTTATTGTACATTTGAAAAGGATTGTAAAAGGATGTTTATCTCCTAACACAACCTTCTGAAATCTACTACATTATTCCCAGCAGTACTCTCTCTCTCTCTCTCTCTCTCTCTCTCTCTCTCTCTCTCTCTCTCTCTCTCTCTCTCTCTCTCTCTCTCTCTCTCTCTCTCTCTCTCTCTCTCTCTCTCTCTCTCTCTCTCTCTCTCTCTCTCTCTCTCTCTCTCTCTCTCTCTCTCTCTCTCTCTCTCTCTCTCTCTCTCTCTCTCTCTCTCTGTTTATCCATTTACACAACTCTCTCTGACCTGCCTTCACAAATGCTGTACTGACCTTGGCTTAGATTTGCCGCACACTGATTTGTATTGGTCAAATCCTGCCATCACAAACCCTCAGATCCCTCCCTGTGCACGTGGCAGATGGTACAGTTGTGAAATTGTGAATGTGCTCTTGCTCTTCAAAGACTGCAATAATGTATAGTTTGCCAGGCCCTCTGTGTCTCAACTCTAATCCCCAGCATGTGGGCATCTATGCATCAATGGTGGCGGCACTGGAAAAACAAAAGCAAGCTCCAGTGATGGGATTTATGAATGGAATGCCTCAGCAGCACTTTTCTACTAATATAATATAATATAATATAATTAAAATAAATAATATATTTAAAATAAATAATATTATATTTATATATTTAATATTAAATAATGAATGCACTTCATGAGGTTGGTTGAAAGAAGCCCAGAGTGTAAAGCTTAACAAAAGTTGACTTCCAAGGTAGCTTTGATTTGTTTAACATTTTTCGGTCACCTGCATTTCTGTAATTTCATAATTTTGAGGACTTTACTCTTTCTCTAAAATGTTAAAAAAATTGGTATAGCTAGTTGTGTGCAATCTTTTGACTGGTATGTATAACCAATAGCCTATACAATAGTGTATACAAAAAGGGAAGTTTGATGCATGGTTCTGTTCTCATTCTGAACAATAATCTGTAAAAAACACTTTGAATCAAAAGTCTCGTGATAGTCATGGGAACAGACACATGACTGCAGCAAGGCATTCTGGGCTTCTTTAGCTGTGTGGTTAGACTGGAATGTTATAGGAAACAGATGTTTTTTTTAGTTTTGAACAGATGAGTTTGCTGCCAACAGCTACCTGAGGGAGGGATTTTTGCTGTTTAACATGACTCAACAGTTGTGACGCTAGAGGTTTTTAATTCAACATTAATACAATAATAATAAAATTTGTTGTACATTAAATAATTTCACAACAATTTAATTGTGTTCACACCGACAATATCTGCACTCACAAAACGTCTAGAAATATAAGGCTTAATCCTTAATCCTTTAGAAAAACGACACTTAAATACGCACACACCACAGGCTCTAATCAGGATCAGATTAACCAAAAAAAAAAAGTCAAAATTTTTGTAACGAATGAATGAGCTGGTGTGTATTACTGAAAAACTGCTTCATTCATTTAATGTATCTGGGTCACAGTCAATCCTTCCTTTCAGGTATATTGTAACAATTTCAAATTAATAGTCAACAGTGTTTGACCAAAGAAATTACATTAAACAAGATGCACAGAAGTATCTGAAAGTTTATTTTTAGTGTACATTAATCTTACTCTGCTTAAATGCAGAAAAAGGTACAGGAAGACAGTCTTGTTACACTACACTACAAAAAAAAAAGTGTTGAGTTCATAGAAGTGCTGTGTTTTCCAGTTGGGTAGTGCTCAATGAATTTAAATTAGCAACTACACAAACTATTTGTGCAAACTAATCCAGTCAGTGTTTAAAGTGGATTGAATAAATCTGGCACATGTTTTTTGTTCCCCATATACAAAAGCTGAAATAGTTCTTAGTCTGCTCAGTCTTGTCACCATGTCAGCAGGCTATGATGCTTTTGGCCTGTGATATTTATGGATTTGCTTGTATGTTTGTGAGTAATCTGCACATAGCATGCCATGAGCAACTAACACTAAGGGGACTTTCCTCGACATACATTTATATCTTAGTGTTGCTGACCGCATGCCTATACACGTAGACCTCATACACTAACACATTGTGCAGGGAACTCAGGTTGTTGACTAACAAGGGGAAGTGTTCATGACAAGCTAACAGGGCCACAGGACAATGATGCTCAGAAAGAGGTGCTATTTATTGATACCATCAAATCAGTTGAGTTTTAAATCATATGTCTTCTTCCAGCTAAAAAAACAACCTGACCTACTGGAAATGTGAGATGAATGAAGATGTACTTACTGAAGAAGGTTATGAACTAAGATGAGAAAATGTGCATTGCTTTACCACATCCATTTGCAGGATCCCAAACAGAAAAGCAATTGCCTGAAAAGCTGGATGTGTCTGTTTCTTTTGTTATAACTAGCCCGGTAGAAGTATGCTAATGAAAATCAATGGCAAAAAGAAAAAAACTGCCGTCAATATATAAGCAATTCCCAAACCTTTAGTAAACGCTGCACCAAATTCAATATGTAAAACTTCTTATTTGTGTAAAATTATGGTTCTATCTATGGCAACTGTAGGCTAAGGTTTAGTTAATAAGGGATCTCTAAAATATTATCTTGTTGTTAGTGGTGGTGGTGTTAGATAAATTAATTTAAATTTCATATAGAAATCTCTTTTTCACGACCTTGGTAGGATACACTATTCCCAACTAACTTCCCACTTTTCCTAAAACTGTAACTCGACACCTGACATCATCGCTCTTGGCTGATGTTTTAGCGATTCCAGATGCAGCGGGACATCTTCCCTTTCCCGCAACAAGAGTAGGCTAACTTCCTCAAAACTCCAGCATATAAAAAGGTCGTCGTCTCGTCGACTAACCAGTTTTAAACCAGCATCTATCTTTTGTTCTGAACTTCTGGAAATCATACAGGTAACCGTTCCTCATCGTCACTCTGTAGTTTATTTTTCTATCATCTTAAATAGAGTTAACATTGTTAATGTTTTAACATTCGTAAAATAGGCTATTGAAAATCGAAACATTTGAAGTTATGTGTGCAGCTTTGTTGCTATACTTTCGCTTTCTTTTTGTTTTTCACGAAACTTTTAAAATGAAAACATTTTAACGCTATTTTTCTATGTAGACAGTAATTTTCTTCTTCCTCACTTCGGATACAACCACTCAATCCTTACTTCTCTAAACTGACCTAAATAGGTTGCAGTGGGGGTTTCGTTTTTGCAAGTGGTTTACGTTTAACACGCACGTAAGTTGCACGAGCATGTTATAGGCCTATAGTGGGTTTACACCTCTGGCTGTTTGTCTGTTTTTCAGGGCATTATGTATACATTTGGTGGAATTCCTATTCTCGTGGTGGTGTGGTGTGGACTAGCTCACACTCTGGACAATCTCTCACTGGATGAAGCATGGGAGGGCTGGAAAATCACCCATAGGAGGGAGTACAATGGCCTGGTGAGTACTAAAAACTAAAAAGACTAACAAAATAGTCAAATTCTGTTTCCTCGGGGTGATAAAAGAGTTAAAGTCCCTCTGTAGTCAATAATTGTATCCCTTAAAACTAATAATTGATCACCAAAATGATATATTTAAATGTTTTTTCCTTGAAAAATGTTAAATATATCAGAGTGATGAAAATGATGAAAGAGTGATGAAAATTCTTCATGCCTTAAAGGGATACTCCACTTTTTTTGGAAATAGGCTCATTTTACAACTCCCCCAGACGAGTTAAACTGTTGAGTTTTACCGTTTTTGAATCCATTCAGCCGATCTCCGGTTCTGGCGGTACCACTTTTAGCATAGCTTAGCATACATCATTGAAGTGGACAAGACCATTAGCATTTCTAAAAAAAAAATGACCAAAGAGTTTCGATATTTTTCCTATTTAAAACTTGACTCTTCTGTAGTTACATCGTGCACTAAGACCGACGGAAAATGTAAAGTTGCGATTTTCTAGGCTGATTTGGCTAGGAACTATACTCTCATTCCTGCGTAATAATCAAGAAACGTCACTGCCGTACCATGAGAGCAGCAGGCGTAATGATATGACGCAGCGCCTCAAAATAGTTCCGTTGTGTTGACGGAAGGTGGCCTATTTTCAGGGGCTGCGTCATATCATTACGCCTGCTGCACTCATGGTACGGCAGTGAAGTTTCTTGATTATTACGCAGGAATGAGAGTATAGTTCCTAGCCAAATCAGCCTAGAAAATCGCAACTTTACATTTTCCGTCGGTCTTAGTGCACGATGTAACTACAGAAGAGTCAAGTTTTAAATAGGAAAAATATCGAAACTCTTTGGTCATTTTCTTTTTAGAAATGCTAATGGTCTTGTCCACTCCAATGATGTATGCTAAGCTATGCTAAAAGTGGTACCGCCAGAACCGGAGATCGGCTGAATGGATTCAAAAACGGTAAAACTCAACAGTTTAACTCTGGGGGAGTTGTAAAATGAGCCTATTTCCAAAAAAAGTGGAGTATCCCTTTAAAATAGCTTGAATGTAACTCTACACCCTTGCCTCATTAGTATACGAGGTTCTATGAATATGCAAATTAGTCCCGCCATTAGTCCCGCCTCCACTCACACCAGCTGTTTGTGATCTCAGAAACACCAGCGATTTCAAACTGTGTTTTTGAGATTGTCTTTGGTTCAATCCAGTTTTAAGGAGAAAATACTCAGCAATTATTTTGACTTATGCATTTGTTCATGATTTGTCTTAAAGCATATTAAAAACACCACATAGTCATATAAACAACATTACAAATTTGATTTCCACCACATGGGGACTTGAATTAGGCTTTAAATGTACTGGCTAAGTCCCTTTCTGATGGGGCTTTGTTTTTACATGCTCTGTCTACAGCAATACTTTTATTCGGTATTACTCATTGTTTGTGTCAAGTATTTACATGTGTGTTTCATGGTGGGCAGGATGAAGAGTCTATTCGACGGACGATTTGGGAGAAGAACATGCTGCTTATTGAGGCCCATAATAAAGAGTATGAACTGGGGATTCATACCTATAATCTGGGCATGAACCATTTTGGAGATATGGTATGTATACCGTTATACTAATATTTGACTGCTGTGAAACACTTAACCCATATATATACTGTATATATATGTGTGTGTGTGTGTGTGTGTGTGTGTGTGTGTGTGTGTGTGTGTGTGTGTGTGTGTGTGTGTGTGTGTGTGTGTGTGTGAAACTGCAAACTGTGTCAGAACTTCAGTAATACATTCATAATATACATAATACATAGTAAAACATTTGCAGATAAGTAAGATTATGGCAACAGGAATGTTCCATCAACAAAATATGTATTTTAAAAGCCTGTTTACTGAAACTGGATCTAACTTGTTAACGTTTTGGAGGATTGGTAAGCAATTAGAAGCGAGATCCTTTTTGTCCAATTCTTATCTCTCTGCAGACATTAGAAGAAGTGGCAGAGAATGTGATGGGACTCCAAATGCCCATGTACCGTGACTCAGCAAACACATACGTGCCTGGTGACACAATGGAGAAGTTGCCCAAATCAATTGACTACCGTAAACTGGGATACGTCACTTCTGTCAAGAACCAAGTGAGGAAATAACAAAATATTCCAGTAATATTTCTTCACTCTGAGAATCTCTCACATGATTAACCTTATCATCATCCTCACATTAACTCCTGGTTGTAAGAAATGTGCTTTCAAACAATTTTCCACAGAATGAGTGTTATCATTATAACCATTGGCTTCATCTGTTTAGATTTCAAGCCAACTACAGTTATCATTGTATTTGGGCGCCATCTAGTGGTTAAAACGATTAAGCTTATATTTTTAAATCAGTAGAGTATAGTCTGCTTCTAGTAAAGTGCTGTTTTTCTCTTGCTCTCCTCAGGGTTCGTGCGGCTCATGCTGGGCCTTTAGCTCTGTTGGGGCCTTGGAAGGTCAGCTGAAGAAGACCAAAGGTCAACTGGTAGACCTCAGTCCTCAGAACCTGGTGGACTGTGTGACTGAAAATGACGGCTGTGGTGGAGGATACATGACAAATGCTTTCAAATACGTCGCAGACAACCAAGGCATTGATTCAGAGGAGAGCTACCCCTATGTTGGAACGGTATTGGTCAGCCTTAAAGACATTTTTTTTTTTTTGACAAATCTTTTTTTTTATGGTATATTGCAGTATTTATTATAAATAATTTATCTGTGCACATCATTCTTTTTTTAAATCCACGTGCTCTCGTAACTTTTTTTTATCAAAATAACTTCCCCTCTTTATGTTTCACGTTTAATGGATATGGATATTTAATTGATATTTCAGTTTATGTTTATTTTTTTAATTTAAAAAATATTTTATTAAAAATAAGAATTAAATGAAATAATTACAACTAAATTCATAAAATGATCCAAAGATGGGAAACCCTGAAAAGTTCTATGAAGTGTCTAAAAGAACCCTTTAAGGTTCTGTATAGAACCTTTTCTTCTAAGAATGTAGCGACATATGCAGCACTGAACAGTTCACACACTTTTAAACCAAGCAGTTTTCTGTTGGTCAGCACAGCAAATTCACGTAACCAATTTGAGCATAATCTGCATTGGGATTTTTTTTTCTTCATTTTTTTCAATGATTCATTTAAATGATTGGATTAAGGTCACACCCAATCAATGATTTACCTGTTGACAGTCATAATTTTGTTCATCTCACTACTTCCCCCTGCAGGATCAGAAATGTGCCTACAACAGTTCAGCGAGAGCAGCCAGTTGTAAAGGGTATAAAGAGATTCCTCAGGGTAATGAGAGGGCACTGACTACTGCTGTGGCAAAGGTGGGACCTGTGTCAGTGGGTATAGATGCCATGCAGTCCACCTTCCTGTACTACAAAAGCGGTACTTAACATCTACATATTGTCTGATTTGTGATGATTTGCTGAAATCTTTCAAATAAAGGTTACTAATAAGACTAAAAGCTTGACCTTTACTATGTCCAAAACCCATTTCTAGGTGTGTACTATGATCCCAACTGCAACAAGGATGATGTCAACCATGCAGTGCTAGCTGTTGGTTACGGAGTCACACCGAAAGGCAAAAAGTACTGGATTGTGAAGAACAGGTGAGGAAAATCTGTTCTTCAAGAGAGCAGATTTGTTTAAAATAATAAATAAATAATTTAAATAAAAATGTTCCATTTAAAATAAAGTAATAAATATGTCATTTATATTTAATTAGGACATTTTAAGTTAATTTAAAAATAAATAAATAAATGTGCATTTTAGTAGCCTAGTGTCTTCTCCTAATCCATCTGTTTTTTTTTTTCTGCTTCTGAAGTTGGGGTGAAGACTGGGGAAAGAAGGGGTATGTCCTGATGGCTCGTAACCGTAACAATGCATGTGGTATTGCCAGCCTGGCCAGTTACCCAGTCATGTGAGAGCTGGAAGCAGGGAGCTCAAAAGGGACCAAACTTGTCTGCTGCTGACCAATAACAAAAGGGACTCATTATCACTATCAATGACCTCCAACATATAATAATGATTGGGAAAACACTCTCTAAAAGAAGCAATTCATTTAAAACCACAAGGTTTTGTATTTTTTCTCTTGTGTCTTAGATGTCTTGTTTTTAATCCCATGCAGTTGAAACTGTTTTGTGCAATATTTGAAATTCAAAAGGGAAGTTTTGATATTGTGTATATACAGTCTGCTAAGTTTTTTTTCTTACTCCCCTGGTGGGATCTGAGATCTCTGTTTTACATTTTGATTATATAAATTACCAAGGGCTTTTATTACCATATTAAATAAAACTGTTAATTTTGAGTACATCATACTTGGGTGAAAGTATCTTACTGTTTACCTCAAAATGATCATTTTCTAATGTAAAAAATGTCACACTAACATTTTAATAAATACAAGTCAATACCACACCTCTGTACAGAAACATTATGTAAATTAAAATTCAGAGAATAAAACATCAGTGCCAACCCCTTTATTTTGAATTCTGAGAACGTTTCTATAAACCATGCAACCGTAAGACGTTCCTGTGTTTATGAAGACTTAGTTTTAGTTTTGCTGAGGTGGAAGAGAAAGCATCAGAGAATTTATTTGGGGAAGTCGAAACCAAGAGAAGCCAAGAAAAGAAATCAAAGACCGTAGAATTAAGAGCTAAACTATCCTATGCTGTTTAAACAAAAATGATGACAGTTATGTTCTGTATGTAAGAAATCATATGACCATAACTGAACCACTTCCTCATCAGATGAATAACCCATATTTCCCCTTTTGTGTTCACATTCAGTAATTTTAACTTAAAATCGTTGAACTTTGACTTTTTTTTAACCTGAAAACAAAGAATACAACATCAGAACTTCAGTAATACATTCATAATATACATAATACATAGTAAAACATGCCACCATTAGTCCTAAAGAGTGATAAATAATACTTAAAAAATTTATTTTATTTCACATTTGCTAAAAGTGAATCAATCACATTTAAGTTCAGTTTGTCTATACAATTTTACATGTGCAGTGCCAAGTGTCAGGCCTTTGTAGGATTCTTAGCTGGAGGGCTCTGTCTGTCAGAGGCATTAATGGATATTTTTTCATTTAATAATTTGTTTCAGGAAGTTTTGCATGGCATGAAATTAAAAAGGGTGAATGCACTCTGCAAACTTCTGCAAACTAAGCCTAGCCTACTTTCTGGATGACTGAAATCTTCAGTAATTATTGTTCAAAGAAAATTTCACAATGTTCCATAAAGCTTTTGCTCTAAAATATAACCACAGACCACATAAATGTGACCTGAGGTGATAAATGTTCTGAAAACACCATATAACAATATACCAAATTCTCTTTTCTGAGAGACAAATACTAATTATCTCTCAGCTTGGATTGTAAGTTCAATTAATGTTAAAGAAGATGTCCCCTTAGCAAGACACATTTAATCATTTTAAATGTGATGATTTTCATTCCATCGAAATCAGCACCAGTTCAGCACAAATATTTGTCGAATCATGATGATGACTCAGCAAATGAAAGGAAAAAATTAGGTCTCATTGTTCCTCTACTCTATAGTGGTTATGTGGCTTTTTAACATTTGGGCAATGGTAAGAATGTTCTTCTAGAACCTAGCCTACATTCTCTGAAATAAGCCAGACAGGTGTTTATGTCATGCTTGTGTGCTCAAATGATGGTGTTTTTAACCACATGAGTTCCTCTGGCTGTCTTCCTGTTTCATATATCATGTAATACATGATAATAATGGCTTTAGGCCTCAACTACCACGTTGAGAAAACAGAATAAAAAACCCCTATCAAATTATAATTAATCAAAGCACATCGGACACATTTTTAGGTTAGCCAAGTGCATAAAACACCATTAATCTATCTAATTCGTCTAATTGTATATAATTAGTTTAATATTTATTAAAAGTATGTTTATTTTATATTTTATATAATTCGCTTAAGGATTAATAAATAGCCTAATTAATTAAAAAAATATATATATATATAAATTTTTTTTTTAAATATAAGGAATAGTTATTTTAACTATAAGCCTACGTTGAATTAATCCAACGTTTAATAGCCGATTATGTTTTTTTTTTTTTTTTTCTACATGTAACATCTAACATATACAGGGCGAAGCAAAAAGTAAGCTAAGACACTGTGCCATATGACAATAAGCATAGCACGTGATGGAACAAAATAAAAGCAAAGGAACCAGGAAATTACAGACGCTCATCGCTCCTCGACAAACGACAAGAAGTGTAGCTTAACGAGAGTGCACAGGTGAGACGACGAGACATATCTAAGTAAATTTCTTGTTCACTTTCACGTCGTATCTTTTTGATAAAAGTCGCCTTTGTCCGCGGTTTCTCTCAAAACGTTTCTCTTTCGGTTTTAATTAAGGTGGTGACTGTGGTTTTATGAGCACTTTCCCTGAAATATTTGAAATGTTGTCAGCGTTTTATTAGTGGTCTGTTAGTAGGCTACTAACTGCTGTTAAAGGTAAAACGCTAAAAATGCCTATACTTAAATTAGAGTTAATATTTTGTTAAATGAAGGATCAGAAGTCGATCAAACGCCCATCTTAGTTTAATTTCCGTTTCTTCCTCATAGCCTGCATGTGTTCTCTTGCTCCGTTTATATAACTTGTAAAATTGCCTTTTTTTGCCTCCCTAATCTAACTGGTTAAAACGTCTTTTAGTATTATTATACATTGATTTGCTTAGATTTGTTTTTCTACCAATTTCACTTTAACTACCTTTCTGGTCTACTTCTGTTACTTAATGTGTTTCCTTCCTTCCTGATGGTAAATGGTAAATGGACTGCATTTATATAGCGCTTTCACAGACCCAATGGCCACCAAAGCGCTTTACATATTGCCTCACATTCATCCATTCACTCACTCATTCATACACTGAAGGTGTATACAGGATGACAGCATTTCTTTTAGAGATGAACATTTTAAAATAAACAAACAAGACTTTCAGAAGTCTGCTTCACTGAACTGATCACTTCTGACTGTAGTTGATGTAACATTTAGGCCATGTGTCAACATAATTCAATGAGAGTATATTAACAGAAAAAATATTGATGTTTTAATGCATGCCAGTAACTTTCATGGATTGTTTTGCTGTTGTCAGGCCATGATGTTCGGGAGCTTGCTGTTTGCCGTGTGTTGTAGCGCAGCACTGGCCCATTTCAACTCGAATCTTGACCAGCACTGGGAGTTATGGAAGAAGACTCATGACAAGTTTTACTCCACTGAGGTGAGAACAGAGTTTCATAAGCATCGATCTGATGATCCCACAGCTGAGTTTCATTTACAATACTTAGGCCTACAGCTTCATTTTCATAATGGTTATCCGGGGTGTTCTTGTGAGACTAATAATTTCACGATTAGCTTAAAATGATGAAATATTTTTTATTGAAATATTAATGATTTTAAAATGGAAGTATTAACAAGGATATCTATAATAAATGCAGTGACTGTAGTCTCACACAAACGTATCACGTGTGATCCCTGTAATATGTGTTGCAGGTCGAGGAACTCGGCAGGAGGGAGTTGTGGGAGAAAAACCTTGAACTTATCACCCTTCATAACCTGGAGGCCTCCATGGGCATGCATTCATATGACCTGGCCATGAACCACATGGGTGACCTGGTGTGTGTGTGTGAGACAGAGAGAGAGAGAGAGCACGCACACTCATATGTCTTTGTTTCTTCATTCGTGATTTATCTGCTTGCACTATCATCCAGTTTTTACAAGAGAAAAAAAAATCTCTCCTGGCATGTGATACTGCTTTATTTATCTAGCATGACGCTAATGAGAGGTTTAAAGGGTTAGTTCACCCCAAAATGAAAATTCTGTCAGTAATTACTCACCCTCATGTTGTTCCAACCCCGTAAGACTTTCTTTCATCTTCGGAACACAAATTAATATATTTTTGGTTAAATCTTAGAGCTGTCTCACTCCTCCATAGGCTTCTAAGGGATTGAAACTTGCCGGCCCAGAAAAGTTATTAAAGACATTGTTAAAATAGTCCAAGTGACTACATTGGCTCAATCTTAAGTTTATCAAGCGACGAAAATACTTTTTGTGCGCAAAAATAACGACTTTATTGAACTATTCATTTCCTTCTCTGTGGGCCTCGAGTTAGTTCACGTAGTGTAACTGTACAGCGCTTCTCTGTTGTACGTCACTCGTAGGCTCACTATTGGCCAACGCTGGTCATGTGTGTGATGCGTGTGACGTACAACCAGAAGCGCTGCGCTGTTACACTACATGAACTAACTCGAGGCTCACAGAGAAGGAAATGAATAGTTGAATAAAGTTGTTATTTTTGTTTACTTTTTGTGCACAAAAAAATATTCTTGTCGCTTGATAAACTTAAGATTGAGCCGGTAGTCACTTGGACTATTTTAACAATGTCTTTAATAACTTTTCTGGGCCGGCAAGTTTCAATCCCTTGGAAACCTATGGAGGAGTGATCCAGCTCTCAGATTTAATCAAAAATATCTTAATTTGTGTTCCGAAGATGAACGAAAGTCTTACGGGGTTGGAACAACATGAGGGTGAGTGAGTACTGACAGAATTTTCATTTTTGGTTGAACTATCCCTTTAAGATATGTTCACAGATCAACTTTTTTCTTCGGTTTTCCTTACTCTATTGTACAGCTATAGTGTAACTTCTTCCTGTTCAAATATTTCTATTTTGTGTCATATTGATTCACAGACAACAGAGGAGATCCTCCAAACATTAGCCACAACTCGTGTCCCTCCTGGCTTTAAGAGGCAAACAGCGACATTCGTGGGATTTTCTGGGGCTCCTATCCCAGACTCTCTTGACTGGAGAGAGAAGGGATATGTCTCCAGTGTGAAAATGCAGGTATTAATGTACTAGATATTTGATTGTATGATCTCTGCTCAAATTGCTTTGCTTTCTTTTTGCTATTCATCTATATAAATTTATTATGTAGCATGAAGACAGTTTATATAGCTTCTGGACTGACTACATTTT